TAAAAACACCTGGGAAAATGGTCTTTAATTATGTGACCAAAGAGGCATCATGTGACAGAGAAAAGAACAGCCTTGGAAGAATTTCGCAATAAGGAAGAAAGAGGCAGAAAGAAAAGAAGGGATTGGGGGGTGGGAGCACCAAACAAAGATTATGTAAAAGGCAAGGAAAGCCAGAGAAGACCAGAGGTGCATCCCAGTGCAAGAGATGCAATTGTACATGACAGAGGACCTTTTTCTCATGCCATGAACCAGCTAAGAGGAAATTAAAGACTGTGTGTTAAGAGCAGGGACACAGGATGGAGAACAGGAATGAAAGAGATCTTGGTGGTTTGATGGAATAATCCACACCTATCCTCCATATGGAGTTGCAACATCACAATATTCTCAAAGTTATCAATTACTATACTGGATTAGGAAATAAAGACAAAAAAAGGAAGATTCCAGCAATCTTCAACAGAATGTCTTTCATCTCCAAAAAGGGCACAGAGGCATGACAGGACAAACAGGCTGCTAGAAAGAACTTACAGTGCCTCGTCCCTGCAGGGCAGTCAACTATAGAAAAAAAAACTTAGGAAAAAAAAATCAGCACTATGCATATTAAGTCAGGGATGATAAAATTTAATGTCTGTAAGTGGGAAAAAAAAAAAAGAAAAAGGAAGTGATCTGGACTTATACAGACTTAGTGGATTAAGAACGATAGGATAAAAATCTTGACTCTTCCTTTAGAAATAATATTTGACAGAATTTGAACTGGAATGTATAAGGAAAACAGGTAAAATACAACAAGAGAGAGGAGGCATAAATAGCCTTTTCTAACCAGAGGAAGATAACTAATTTTTTCTAAAACATTTCCTTTATTCTAGGTCTCATCCATCATCTGCTTGACATAGTACCACAATGTATTTAAATTGGGAAATACTACCAGTTCTAAGAGAAGCTAGAATATAATATAGAAAGAACTAGATGGCACTAAGAACTGAAATACCAAGAGACGAGTGACATTCAGAAATACAACAGAAGGTACAATTTGTGCACTTTGCACTAAGAATTTCTCCTGTAAAAGGACTTTACCAATTGAAGACATTGCAGATGGATTTCAGTATCTCACCAGTGGTCTCATGCCCATACATTTGGATAGGAAATGACCAGCTCAGTTCAAGTGCGCTAGCTGGGGAAGCCTGATACGAAGTGATTATTTGTAAATGCCTTGAGATTAAAATATCCTGTGGTCTCCTAGCAAAAAAAAAAAAAAAAAAAAAAAGGTTGCAACACTGAAAAATGAAAGGAAAAAAAAGAACATTTCTAAAGGTTATTTATTTCATCTTTTTCATTGATGACCAAAGCATCTGGTTTTTGCAGATGTGTTTGCATGCATCCACAACCAAACTATTAGCTGTGATCCCCACACTGGCAGACTCATAGGCTGAAGCTGTATTTTAGCCACCTGAACCTGACAGAATAAGCTTGTTTTGCACACTTCCTTTTCATGGAAGTTATCTAGAGAATGATGACCTTTATGTCTGCAATTTATCATGTTTTCTTTCTACAAAATAATCTGATACTGTAGCAGTTCTGTGATTTCCAAATCAATAGGTTTTAACTGTCATCACCACAATCAGCTACCCAATTTCTTTACCCATTTTTTGTCAGAGCTGGATGTGTGCCTTTTTAAAATAGTTTATGACAACACTGAAAGAGTTATTTAAATTTTCAGCTTGACAGTTTTGTCTCTACAGAAAATCCAGACAAGGCAAACTAACTGAAGAGCCTTGAAAAAAATTATATCATGAATATGCACATAACAGCACCAAAGATGACGCATAAAAAACTTAATTGTTCCCTTCTGCAGATTTAGTTTTCACACAGAGGGACAAATTGTGCACTTCTGGGAAAATCCGAGATTATCAGGTTAAAGAAAAAAAAAATACTGTCCCACTGCCCACTTTCATATGAAGAGGGATTTTTTTTTTTTTTCCTTTTTAAGTTTCCCCTGAGAAAAACTACATTCCCATAGCACAGAAACGTTCTTGGATACAACCAAGTAACAGAAGCAAGACACTGCATAACTATCAGCCATTATTCCATTTCTGGTTTTTGTTAGGCTCCTTACTGTACAGTAACTTAGCTTACAAGCAGCAGTAAGGCCAAGGGGCAGGTCATGAAAAATATTCTTAAACAAAGGTTATTGACAGTTTTTAGCACATCATTTGTGTTCAGCAGTCTGACGCATCTCAGAACCAGCTGTACCAATGAAATATGCATACCCCGAGGTAAGAAGAGTTCCCAGGCAATGCTCTAAATGCTGCACCTAACACTTGCAAGCAAGGTTGCTGCTTTCTGTGGTATTTGAATGATTATACCCTTAGGCCTTTGAAAATTTCAACAGCAGTTCAGATTTTTTGAATAATCATTTTGGAGTCTAAGAGGAAGTAGATATAGTTAGGTTAATAACATACGTGATCATCGTGAGAGCACTAGCTCTGTTCTCAACTCTGACACAGCATGTGGTTCTAAAAAGACAACTCGCAACTACTCTGCCGAAGCTGCCAAGGAGAAAAGCAAAAGCTTTTGGATAGAGATGAGTCAGCAGGATTCCATCTGACCCCTTGCCACTTACTGGCCTAAAACTAGCAAGTCATAGTCATGAAAGAAGAAAAAAAAAAAAAATTGACCCAGCAGATCCGAGCATTAGAAATTGTTGACAATCTTTACTTGTTCATGCAGGTGCACAAAGACATTTTTGCAGTTCTAATGAGCTACTGAAGAGAGGTTTGAGGCAGCGTGGTATGTCCGGGGCCCAGGCAGCCCATCTCCTGCTCAGCCCTGTTTTGTTTCTAGCAGAGTAGCGCACACTGGCCAAGACCAAGATCTGGCTGCCTCTTCATCTGGCTGCAGGCCTTAAGATCTCAAATGGCTTGTGGGGATAATAAAACGTTCACTAAGCATACGATTAAAGCATTTTCCTGCCTTAGTTCCAGATGTCAGTACTGTTCTTCATCATGTTTCCCCTCCATCTCTCCTGCATTGAATTGTGAGAGGTTTAAATTCTTTTCACAGTTGCTGCATCTTGCAAACTTACTCAAGTTTATATTTCATTTAGATTTCAGACCAGGACCAAAGTTTAAAGAAAATAATTTAAGCAGCTGTATCATGAAAAGCAAAAGAAACCTCAAATGCAAAACTCTCAAGTCAGCTTATACAGATTTCAAAGACTCAGTTACTTTCATTATAAGAAAATTAAACTCCATTTATTCTTGAATGCAATATAAGAGTCAAAACAAAAATTAGGAAAATGGAGAAAAATTTCATAAAGAGAACATTGATTACCCTAATTTGGAGGGAGGTAACTGTATCTCCTCGCTTTAGAAGCGAGTTAGTCATCTGGTCCATGGCAGCTAATCTCCAGTCATCTCTAAATCTTTATGTCACCAGAGAGAAGAAAGAAGCTGCTGGCACATGTTTCTCTTCCTAACACCGAGCCCTACCCACAGTGTCATCACGGGTCCTGGAAGCATTCAATCTGCCACCACAGCATATGCCTATTTGCCCCATGCCAAATTTTGGGAGATTGAGGCTGAGCAAGTTAAGTGAGCTAACGCAAACAGGTGAATAGTAAAAACAGCGCTCAGTAGCAAAAGCTAAAGCTAATCATAACTTGTCAGACAAAAACCAGATGCAGTAGAAAGTTTTATGAATTAGTTGAAATTCAACAAAAGCTTTTGGTTGAGTTTCCTGATTTCCAAGGTTAAAAGCTCCAGGACACCTCTGCCATTTTCTCTCTTGGGACCATGGATCCAATGCCTTCCAGCCTTGTGTGACACAAGAATCTGAGTTGCAGAGCAAGACATTTGGCGCTAAGAATCCAGTTTTCACTCTGCATGCACTTCAAAGGCCATACCTCAAACAGAATCTGACCTGGTCCAGTGTACTGAACACTTGCGAAGTAGCCAAGACACACAGGATGCATGTCCTGCAGTTTAGCTTTATCAGAGAAGAACCCCATTCATGCACTGACACCATCATGTGATGCAAATTGAAGTGTGAAAAGTAGGGAAGGCTCAGAGATTTATTTCAAGAGCATTCAACTAACCCAAGATAAACATGGCAGTGTAGGTGCACCCTTGTTCTCCCAACAGCTTTCCACACCACCAGTATCCCTCATCACTGTGGCAACATGCAACACTGAGATAGGATCCATTCAGATAACGCCCACTCCAACTAAGATCAGTTTTAATTCTTTTCAGGCTTCAGCATCTGTCCTCATGATACTAACTTCAATGTCAAAGCCTATGCCTCCTCTATGCAGAAGTAAGCAGTAGTCATTGATCTACACAATCCAATTTTAATTAAGCAGGCCAAGAAATTACCACAAACTGTCATCCCCTAAAAGTCTTCTCTCTCCCTTGCAACAGTGGTCAAATTTTAGTTACAAATGATGAAAATCCAGACTGCGTAAGAAAAATTTTCCCAATTTGGTTTTTTACTTGATGACAAAGTACCCTAAGCTTCCTCAGAGACTTGCACCGCACAAGACTACCAATGAGATTAAGTCATGTTCTCTCATCTTTTTTTTCAGTTCTAAAAATGAATCACAAGAATATTAACTGCTTAATGTTGCACGTGCCTGGAGCCAAGCTCCTATCTATACAACAAGACTGTTTTCACATGCCAATCCAACATCATCTTTGATTTATTGATGGTTACATCTTTTTTACTATCAGGAGCTCCAAAACACAGAAAAGATTGATAGCCAAATTATTTTGCTAGTATAAAGGAAATACAATAGATTTTAGAATGACACCAGAACTCTAACATTTACAAGTGTTTTCAATAACAAAAACACTCCATGAAATTCCAAGTTCATCAGTTACTGCACATGTTATTAAAAAAACCCAACTTGTTCTCTGATCTACAGCCTTAACACTGATGTTATACAGCTTGACTAATAATCTTAAGTGCATCAATTTCCATTAAGAGGAGTGTTTGTTTTCTTTTCCTCTTCTCATGTCCAGATTTTTTAGTGTAGTCTCTAACGACAGAAGTACTCCCCCCCCCCCAAAAAAAACCCACCATGCATTTGCTTTATATAGAATTTTAACACTATTTTGAGACTTGGTATATATTTTAGTACTGATAATCAACATTTCTCAAGCTATTGCATTTCCTACAGAACATCAAGTCAAAGCTTTATTAATTTGTCTGGAGACATATAGGGACTACTTGCTTTTCTTGGGAAGTGACAACACTCATAACCCACTAAAAGAAGTTAACAATTTTCCTAGGCTAATTATAACATGGAATGAATGTCCTTTAATAACATTCTTTATTATGAGAATAAATACATAAAACAAATGCAATATATTAGCCACATTTCCTCATATACATTCAGAATATAACAGGAAGCTAATAGGCATAATCATCAGAACTAGTTGAACAAACAAATTTTTACTACGCCAACAACACTGGAAGAAAGCTGGAAAGTTTATGCACTAGTAGCAGGCAAAGAACATGTGATTTCAGTGTTCCCTTGACATTAATTTAAAGACAAACATACTGTAATTATAAGCATAAACTGACAGAAATGTTTAGCTCCGTGCGGTGGCCGTTTGAGGTTGTTCTGACTGCAACTGCTTTCCAAGGTATTCCCTGAAATACAAAAAAAAATTAGATTGAGAAACATTCTGGAGAGTGGGGAGTAGGATAGTGATGGGGAGTATGAAGTAGAGAAAGAGGAAAAAGCCTTAAGTTTAGAATTATTCATTCAAATAATGCCTACTGTTACCAGTCAACAGGAGCTACTAGGAGAGTAACTAAGCTGTAGGTATCCGTCATCTATCCCTCTGAAAATAAGGTACAAACCAAACATCGACAAAGTTGTCTGGAAAAAGAAAAAGCCCAGTGATAATATTTAGAAGTCCTGGGAACTGTTAAAGAACACCCACAATGCCCACAGATTTTGCTTGCTGAATATACTATCAGAAGTTATGGCAAGGTATTTAAAAGGATGTCTTCCCATAACCCATGAACACAAGTAATACCGACAGACATACTGGCAACTTAACCCATAGGCTAGCAAAATAGACACTGACTGAAGAACTGTATGTTCAAGTTGGAAGAAAGAAAAGATATCCAAGCCAGGCCCACTGTATACCAACACTTTAAAGAAAGTGTTTTCCTCACTGTATTTTGAAGTGCACTAAGTCACTTATTTCATAAGCATCCTCAACACTAGAACAAACACCCCCCACATTCTTAGCATTTGCCTTAAACAACAATATCTAAATTCTATGGAAAAATACTGCACAATTCTTCTGAATGTTCCCATCTTTCACTGTCTCCTGTGGAAACAGTTCAACACTTCAAAGAACCACAAAGCCGAAAGAGATCTTTAGTAACATCTGGGTTGTTCCTTGTTAAAGAAAATGAGCTTCAATAATTGTACCACTGTATCAGCTGAAAGAGAGGTTTCAGGATCTGTGAAACATAGGTGTTCTTTTTCCATTGCTGATCATACACTTAGCACCACAGTTTTTCCTCACTACACAGGTATTTCAACCTACACAAGTTAAACATTAGCAGCAGTTCAGAGAAAAGATGTTCAGAATGAACCAACCTAACTCAAGAGGATGCACTTTTGCTCTATTAAAAAAAAAAGAAAAAAAAAAGATCAGTTCTTATTGCACATTCCAAAGACTAGTTTTCAGTTTAGTGTCCTGTTGAACAGCTATTCCCTATACATTACAACTCCTATCGCACAATGAAGTTTAGCATCACAACTGTACCACCCAACAGTACTTTTCTCAGTTTTAAAGTATCTAGAAAAGCAAAATTCCTATAAAGTATGTTAACTTCAAATTCCACTAGCAAAGAAAATAACACATAATTTGTATGCTGAGCTGTACGTTATGATTTAGCACCTTCCTTCACAGCTTTCTCAGGTGTGACCGTAGGATCACAGTATTTTAATGCTTGGGCTGCACTCAATAGGTATGACTCTTGATCATAAAAGGTAAGTTACCACCCTCAAAGTAGAGACTCCCGATGGCAAAGGAGGAAATGAGCTGCTCTTGCAGTTTTGCAGGACCCAAAATTGTACCATCAAAATAAACAAAATTTGACAGCCATCCAAAAAGATACATCTAGCAACTATGGAAGGGCTTCCAAACTCACCAAACCTCCTTCTGCTCCCCGAGTGTTTTTTTTGCTTTGTTTCATGCCTACATGCATGTGCTGATTCTAGTATTTCTTGTCTTGACATCCAGCCTTGAAAGCAACTGACACTTGCTGCATACGTGGCTCTGCTCACAGCATCACAACCCTGCAAAGTTATTTATTCTTAAAGCAAACATGAACCATTTTGAATGTGAAATTCCTATGCAATTACTTAGAAGTAGGAAAAATCAATCAAGCTAACAATCTGTAAGAGTACAACTATTGCATATCTTACACTGGTTCAGATGCATGCTCAAGGCTTACTAAAATCCAACCATAGTGCAGTGTATTCAGCAAAAATCTCTGAGAAGGCAGAGCAGTAGCATATTTTGTAGGCACTTAGTGCCTTAACAGACATATATAACTTCTAAGGACATATGGTAGATAGTACAGCACCTTCCCTATAAAACCTTTTATTTTGGTCATTCATTTGCAACATTTGTGAGGTTTAAGCCCAGGGACAAGGAAAAGCTCTTATCCCCTTTCCCCATACAGATTGAGTACCTGCAGTTACTGCTTTACACTGCCATGCTGCAAACCCAGGTGAAAACCCCATACTGTCCCTACCACATCACTTCTTTAGCCACCACCAAGGGCCACTGAAATGGCAAAAGCCTTGTCCCACCTGCTGTTACAAGTACCAGTTAATTTTCTGTTTTGTTATCGTTTCCAATTGAGTTCATTGGTTAACCTAGGACAAGCTCTTGCATGGTCTATGCCAGATGATGACAGGGATTGGTACTAGACCAATAGGAGGAATTTAAACAGCTTCTCAACGTGAAGCTTTCATGTGCAGCCTTAGGAGAGCAGACTGATGAAGTTATTCTGCCAGGCCTTTGGTCACTTCTCCCTCCCACCTTCCACTAAAATTCAAGTTACTGAGAGTAGCTTCAGTAAGACCTTGTTCTCTGTCTGTTAAAATACATACTAAAAGGACAAGAAGATTCAAGCTGGTTTGGTTTTTTGGTTTTTTTTGTTTGTTTGTTTGTTTTTTACATACTGGCATTTCATCACAACAGGAGGTTAAGTAGCACTGTAAGCTTCAATCTTCACATAGGTGTCCATCACCATGCCATTACAAATTAAGTGTCTAAGATTTTTTTATTTATCCTGCACTGTTACTTAGTTAAATCTTAAAATAAACTGGGATTTTTCAATTACTGTTTACACCACAAAATTAAAATTACCTTTAAGAATGCAAGCATTCAACACATTGCACTATAACAGCATGTACAGTGAAAGAAGGATAGATCTTGTCACCAAGATAACAAATGACTTCACAAAATATTCAAAACAGCATCTGACAGATTAGAGATGCACACTACAATGGAAAGTAATGAGGTATTAGACTTGATTTTTAAAATTACAAGCTATGAACCCACGAATTGGACCACTCCACCCTATTTTAATCTGATTTTGTTAGTCCTTCCTTCATAACTTCAGAAAAAGAGCACCTTTACCATAACAAAAGCATTGTGGTCAGTCTTTTGCAAGCACATCAAGTTTCTAGATGGTTAAACTCAGAAGCAAAAGTATATGACATATGAGTGTGGCCACTACTGGCAGAGATTTACATGTGCCTAATTAGCTCACACTATACACCAAGACAAAACATATCCTGCTAACATTTGACATAAGTGAGCTTTGGGGCCTACATACCCATTGTCTTTCAATACACAATCTTACCCGTAATACCATCTCTCCCTTCTAACCTGGCCAAGCAGACCTGCAGAGTGTCACTCAATATGCAAGAGCATCTCTTTTCTACAAGATGTACAAAATTCAAGTACAAAATTGTGGAAAAGAGCAAAATACTGTCCTGGCCACCAACAAATTCAGTCACCAATTCATTCCACTGGAAAGCTGCCTTTTACCTTGAGCAGGCATTGTGTTATTGCCTACAATACTTCAAAAGCCAGTCAGAAGTAATAAACATTTTCTCAATACAAATACACCCGCTGTCCAGCCATTACATAAGTCTCATTTTTCTTTTAAATCGTTTAAGAGGATGAAGAGAAATGAAATTCTATGTACCAGTAGTCCAATAATATTGAGTATGTTTACATATAATGCTTTACTCCTTAACAAGAAGGCAATTTGGTCTCCAGCATTAATCATCAAGATGCAAAGTTCATTGAGCAAAGGCCCAAGTGCCTTGGAAGTTCACATTTGCAAGTTTAGTTCTTGGAAACAAAAAGTTCCACTTTGACCGTTTTCCTCACACTGGGACAGAAAGGCCTTCAAAACCATCCTTATTACAAAGCAGATGAAGCTGGTTCAGACAAGCTTGCATTTACAGTTAACTGCATTCAAACATGAAACAATTGATTCAGTATAAATTTACAAGAACACAAAATTATTACCTCTGTACTGCAGAACAGCATCAAAACATGCAAGTGTAGTACATCACTTTTGAGAGTAACTACAAAATCCTCCATTTCTCAACTAAAGCTCAGATCAACAAAACTTGAAACACCACATTATCTCACTTCCTTGGTCATTCAAAAGTCTGACAGTGAGGCATAAGTAATGTCCATTTGCAAATTAATCTTCATTTGTATTAGAATAACCAAGTGAGATAGATCCCTTCCACATTAGCAATTTCCCCTTTCTCAGGCCTATCTTTGAACACGTTTTCTGCAGTACCCAAAGTGCTTTTTCCAAAAAGAAAAGGAAACTTATGCAACTTCAACATGAATTTGTTGCATCTCAAATCCTTATTCCAATTTGTTGCTTCATTCCATTTAATTTAATTGGTTTTGTTGGCATATGAGAGACACTGACACCCTCAACCTGAGATATACTGAAGTGCCATGGTAATTGCAACAAATGCTTAAAGGTCATTTAGGAAAAGGCACAAGGAACTGATCCAACCCGTAAGCCACCTAATTCAGTGAGTAAGGAATAAGGAGATAATTGCAAAATGGCACAAGAATCTAACCTGAAAATTTTATACTGATACTCAGATTGGGCAAAGGACCATTGTCAACAACAATCAACCTATGATAAATGGGGAAGTTTCAAGGTACATACAACGGATTTCCAGAGGCCATAAAAGGAACAAGCCTTGCAATTTAAGTAGTACAACCTTTAGTGTTATAGTCCAAATTCCAGTGCAGTTAGATTTACCTGTCCTTTAAAGAAAACTGAAAATTCTTTTTAGCAGGCAAGGGAAGAAAGGTAGATAAAGCACAGAAGAAAGGAAGGGTGAAATTTTCACATTCTCTCTTTTCTAACGACATTTAAAGTCTTGCTTCCAATTTATTAAAGAACCAGGTTATCCAAAAAATATTTGATGATCTTGAACATCTGTAATGTCTAGCTTGTTTTAGCAGACTGAGGTTCCTAAGAGGCAGAATGCCTTCCTTTGACAAAGAACAATATAAAAATATTTATTTTATTTTTCTCTATCTAAACATAAACCTAAAGTCCCA